TCCTTAAACCCACCAAAAGAACGCCTGCTCATGCAGCAGGCTAGCGTTGGTGCTGCATCTGTCATCGCTGCGTAAACACATTGCCACCCCACCTGTCAAAATAATTGGATTAAGCGAGCAGACGAGAGAACAGTGGCAAACAGGCTTGTAGCCTACCCCGGGAACTTAAGGTGCAATTGATTAACCATATTAACTCTAGGACGGTTGAATATTACTGACGTAAGGAGCATAGCGCGGTCGCGTTGTTGTTGGTACAAACAGAGTCAGGTACGGAACGGCCGTTAAAAAAGTAACGCTCATCGGCTATTCAAACCCTTTATTTAAAATATGAAATCGATCGAAATTGGAATTGGGAAGCAAGTTATCATACAAAGAAGGCTTACTAAAGACTAACCTAATGTCACTTTCCTCATGAAGACTCTACTTAGATTTAGTTTTCTTGTTTAAAAGCTTACATGGTCATTACGACCTTGATATGTCTAATTATCTACAATTTTATGATTCTGAATATAAGCCATATAATTTAAGGAACACTGAATTAATTTTTAAGAATATTTATGCYAGAACAAATTTATTTAGATATTCGTTTTTTCCTAGAGTTGCATTTTCATGGAACAAGCTACCATTATCAATTAAAGTGAATCAATTTMTTCATTTAAGGAGTTAAGGATACACGGAACACAATCGGGTCGGGTTTTTTGAACGCTCATAGCGCGTTTAGTTTATATACATTTCCCCATAAAGTATACATTTTCTAACAGCTTAAAGTTCAAATATTTCATATTCGATTTTACTATTGGACAAAAAAAATTCATTTTGGATAAATCGGGCATTGATTGCRAACGCTAGGGTTCGACGCGAGATGTTTGTTCTCCCTCTGGTTAGCGTAAACGGATCAAAAATTTTTTTGCATCTTATTACACGTATGTTGTTCTACCAAAGTGTGTCTGCGTTTTTTCTTTTAGCGCTTCTTTAATCTTTTATTCAATTCCAAAGTTATAACTACATGTTTTTAAGGGCATTCTTGAGAAAATGGCAAATATCTGAGAAAAGAAAAGGAAAATGAAAAAACGCAGACACAATTTTAAACTCGAGCATAGTAGTAATCCACATGCCAAGTTTCACGGTAATTGATCAAAAACCGAGGGAGAATAAACCTTCTGAAAATGTGTATTTTAC